TTCCATGTAAGAAAGGCGCTATGATGCCGTGGCCTAGGTTTCTCACTGCGCGGGAATTCAAATCCTTTTTTTTCAACGCCGTTTTTCGGAAATTTAGGATTTTTTTTTTGAATTCTCTCGCAATAATATTAGGAAAATACATATTTTTTGAAACATTTTAGGGCAATAAAAATTTTTAGTCCCCCTTTAATCCTCTTATCTTGTTTTGTTGGATTTTTGAAAAGTTTTTAATTACAGATATAAAGCTCTATCCTTGTTTAGTGTATTCTGAAATTCTCAGGAACTTCAAAATCGACTGTTTTCCACAGAGAAATTCCAAATGTGATGTGATATATTTCATTCCGGTACAGTAATCCTCCCGTTTGGATTTTATGTTTTCAGGATTGAAACTACCGTAAAACCTGTATTAGAAGGGCCGGCCCTTCTATTGTTCCCAGGTACCTCCGTATGGCCCTTCTTTTACAGGGGCCCTTCAACAGGGGCCCTTCAATTAGAGGGGGCCCTTCTATTTTTTCGGCCATTCTTTAGGAACTTTTTAATCGAAAAAGTCGACGTTTATGTTCAAAATTCATGAAAATCTGCCAATTTCACCAAAATTTAGAAAGATTTTCATCGAAAAGTAGAGTTTCAACAAATTTCTATTAAATTGCGCAGTTCCTGGAACATTTTCCACAAAAAATGAACAGATTTTTTAAGTTTTAAGACACATTTTGAAGGGGACCTTCTTTAGAGGGGGCCCTAGTATTACGGGGGCCCTTCTATTAGAGGGACCCTTCTGCTAAAGGAGCCCTTCTAATACAGGTTTTACGGTAATATTGAAGTTTTCCCTGTTCGAGTTGGTTTTTCTTTTTCAAGATTTTTCAAAAAAGGCTTGGTTTTTTGGCACTCTTCTAGAATCACGAAACGAAAAAAAACCACGGAACAAAAAATCACGGAACGAAAAAATCACGGAACGAAAAAATCACGGAACGAAAAATAAAACCACGGAACGAAAATTTTGGGTAATCCAAAAATTGCTAGGACCTTCATTCAAGTACTGTCCTGAGATCTAACCTTGACATTACATTTTCTTCGCTCAGTATCCAAAATGACACCCGAAATGTGGTATATTGAGTCATTAAGGTACACTAGTTGATAGTGTACATGTACCTTTCCCAGATGTTCTGGGGATCATGGGACATACGAGAGTTAGATTAGAGGCTGCAACGAGCAGAGTTATTAAACTTGCCGTCGTTTTTTGGGTGTCCCACATGAAGGAAACACGATGATTCAGCCTAAGCCTTTAAAGGTGGCGAGACAAGAAAAAAAATGTTCTCGAAATTCCGTCTGAATATGCCCCTCGAGGAATTGAGCTAGCATGGGCAAGGATTGAGAGTGCGGCGCCGCTACCGACTGAGCCACGCGGGCAAAAAGGCAGCCGGCGCCCGATTGCATACATAAAGGCGAGGACGACAGCTGTACGCAGAGTGACATTAAGCGTTGTACACCGTGACGGTAGAATGCATACTCTAGCTACAAAAAAACTACGAAAAATCTCCTGTCCCCCACCTTTAATTGAAGAAATATTTTCTAACTCAAAATTAGTCTTCTTGGAACAAAATGTTGGTCCGGAATAAGAATAGTCTTGGGCCAAATTGAGTAGAAATCTTGGCATGTAACTTCCTGTCTCGGATTTCTCATTTTTCAAAAATTGGATGATATTTTTGGATTGAGGAAGTTTTCTTCAATCACAGGCTTAGGCTAAAACGCCATGCTTCTTTTATCTGGAACACCCTAAAATGTCAGCAAGCTCAATAACTGCTTGGTGTAGCTTTAAACTGAATTTTCAGATGTTCTACAGGTCCTATGTAACCTGTTAACTAGCGTATTTTAAGAAATTGATAAACCCTTGTTTTGTATACTTTTGGGTATTGGACAAAGTAAAATTAATGCCAAAGTTAGTATTTCGGATACTGTTTGTCAAAGTGAAGAAGATAGCAATTTTTTAGATTACCCAAAATTTTCGTTCCGTGGTTTTATTTTTCGTTCCGTGATTCTAGAAGAGTGCCGGTTTTTTTTCGCATGGCGAATATCTTTTACACAAGTCGTTTAAAGGGGGACACCGACCAAAAACTTTTATTGCATTAAAATGTGTTAAAAGTTAGCTATTTTCCGAATATTATTGCGAAAAAATTTAAAAAAATCCGAAATTCCCGAACAACGGCGTTGAAAAGGAAGAAAATTCAAAAAAAGGTGCCGCCGGGGGACGAGGATTTTCAGTGAGAAACCTAGGCCACG